ATTATTGGACGCACAGATCAGCGATCGCAGGTAGCTTCTGAAAACGGATACGCAGCTACTATACTGGAGTCGTTCGCTGTCATGGTTTTGCTCTGTTTTTGTTTCAGCTCCAGCTGGAGTGCGGGGGCGTTCCCTGCAGCGACGCACCTGTTTCTTGTTCCAATCATCACGATATACTGTTCCGTATTGGCCCGAATATAAGACGGTGTTTTTTACATTGAAATGGGGGTCATCTTATATTCGGGGTCTAGACATTATACCCATTCACGACGCTAGATGCCGCCAGATATCATTGAAGCGAATGCTGAACTTGACTCTCCAGGCCAAAGTGAACCCCTGTCACGAAGAATAAAAATAAAAATAGCGGTAGCACGAAGAAAAAAAATAAGAAATAGCGGTAAGAAAGAAAAGACAAGAAAATAATAGAAGAGATAACAGAAAATGGAGAAATCTAGCGACAATCTGGAGAAAAGTGGGTCGAAGATCGGCCAGGTTAACCGGCAGCTGAGAAGTTATGATGTAATTTACATTTCAAAAACCAGAAGCCATTCATTTACGAATGTGATTGCACCTTAGTTTACATATTTAAATGTTCAGATATTAAGATTTGAATGAGGCAAAATAACATGCTTTTGCTCTCAAATATATTGTTATAATCATTTTTTTTAGATGTACTGTAATTATTTTCTGAATAAAAATTAATTTGGTGTTCAAAAAGTCTTTTTTCAAACTTGAGTCTTGAAAAAGAGGGGGTCGTCTTTATATAATCAGGGCCGTCTTATATTCGGGCCAATACGGTGTAAGGACTCTGGCTTCTGCCGTGCTTTGTCGGATTATTGATCTTACTCGCTGTACTGCCTCAAGTTTCTAGTCCTCATGCTCATGTTCATAGTCGCTCTTCTCCGCTATGAATCTGGTTTAGTAAGAATTTTTGTTCTCGATTTATTCTTGACAGATTTTGGTTCCATGTGTTTGGACTCTTGCCATTTCATTTTGTGTATTTTTAGATCTAACCATGAGTTTTACAAGCGTTTTCTGTTCATGTCATGTTTTCCTGGCTCTTTGCTGCCTGCGATTTCTGTTTGTACTTTGTCGGTCCTTCGTTTTTCTGTAAAGAAATATTTTTGCTTTGCATTTTATCTGTGTCTATGTTTGTGGGATCCAAACATCATCTGGTTCATTCCTGAACCGTGTCATTCGCAAAATGTTGGAGATTTGTATGTATTTTGTGTTAAATCCATGTTTTGTTTTGTTTTCTTAATTGGGCAAAAAAAAAGAAAAATCATTGTAATTTGTCTCCAAAAGTCATGTTATGAGAAGTCCTATTTTTTTCCCTAGAATACTTAATATGACAATGCAGTATGATTTCCTTAAAAAAAAAAAAAAAAACAACAACTTGTAATATTACAAGAAAATGGTACAAGAACAAAATGCTATTCTTCATGGAAAAGGTTGCAGTATTACGAGAAAACATTTTGATGAGTGAATATCAAAAATCCCATACACACCTGAATGCAATCGTCTGAGTCGAGTGGCCATCCATAAATCTTCAAGACATTCCATCTAAATTCTCAGATATGAAATTACACCAAGACCTTGAAATGACTTTTTTAAACTATTAATTATTATTATTATTATTTTTTTTAAAGTTGAGCTTAATTTTTTGCCTTTGAATGTGAAATAATGTCAACAATTCAAGTGTGGTGTGGGAGCACGTTGGCTTTAGTTTAAGAGAATTGCAAAAGAAATTGGAATGAAATTTGTTTAACTGTGAATGTAAAGTTGCAAGTAAAAAAACAAACAAACAAATAAACCAACTTGATGACTAAACTGGCACAATAGTAGCAAAGCAGGTTGAGTTTGTGCGTTGAGTTGTAAAGGACAAGGATGAAACACTTCCTATTTTGTGACTGTTGCAACATTGTCCTGCAAATAAGTGTGTGCTGCCATCTACAGATCAACCCGCACAAAATCAACGAAAGCCCAGCGACCCACTGACAAGCAACATTAGCCGTGTGCCTTGGCTCAATCGACGTGAAGGAAGCACTGCTTTACGTGTTGCAGCATGCACAACAATCATGCTAGGCCACAGATTTAAATACAAATAAAAAGGTTTTTATTAGTAAAGAGTAACAAACCAGCAGGTTCGATGGATGGTTAAAGATGCACAGACGCTGGTCGCTTTATTCGGCAACGGGACTGACAGCGTTGATGACGAATGACTATGCGCGAACATCACGGGAGGATCCAGCTCAGATGAGTAGGTTTTTGTTGAGTTTTACTGCTGTGACTTTGTGGTCGTTTCACAACTCTTTCGAACTTTGATGCGAAACAAAAATATTTGTTTTCATCCATCATAGGCAGCCCCTGCTACAAAATAAATGTTGACAATTGTCTATAAAATGCTTCGATATATATCTTGTTTGAGGTTGCTGACTTGGGGCTAAAGGCAAACTAGACCCTGGATGGGTCGTCGGTCAATCACAGGATCATTCTGAATGGGAACAGGGAAGAGGACCAAATTACCAATGCAATTACATTCATACGTTAAACACAAGCCTTCAGACGCTGGTTGATAAAAAGCACAACATTACAGTGTGGGAAGTCATTTTCCACTTTTGACATGTTCTAGATTCAGATTTTTCAAACATTGTCTGTGATTTAAACATGCACAGTGCCCCTGATTCTACATTCTACATAAGACACCACACATTTAGTTGTAAACATTGAGCATAAAAGCGAAAGTAAGTCTCTGTGGTGCTGTTCCAGTGTTCACATGAGGTCCAGGACAGTCAAGGAATTCCTCAACCCCCATGTGACGATAGGTCCAGTTCATCCCAAAGTCCACAATTGACAAGTGGAGGGAGTGAAGCTCAGTTCAGCCTATTGTTGAGAACCATTTTTTGCTCATTTTTAACCAGTCACATTATAATGATACCAGACGGCAACATTTGGTGTTTCAGGAGTGGATTCAACACTGTATGTCACATCCATAGAAACCAAAAGCTTAAGTTTGTCCATAATATCATCAACACATCTATGTTTTCAAACATAGATGTGTTGAAAAAGAAATGGTGCAATTGTTGATCAAAAGTATGCAATGTTTGAAAACACATTGAGGAAAAAGTTGTAAGCACCTCATATTCCATCAGACTTCAAACCAGGACAAACAAAATACTGTAGGGTTGTTTCGCTTTGATTGCATGAATGAATAAGGATTAACATGACATTCTTTCTGTTGCGGTGGGGAAGTTGGTCAATGACCGTTTCAATCAAGCATTGACAAAAAAAAAAAAAAAAAAGTTATTAATTGTTCACAATTATAGACAACAACAAAAAAACCCACACAAACACACAATTACCGATATGTAAATTTATAGAATCAAAAACAAATGTAAAAAAAATATTTATCAAACAATCCGCAAATAGATGAATCCACAGTTGCTGTAAACAGGTGTCCAGTGTACACATTTATGGCCCATGTTGTGAACTGAAGTAAGATGTGAACAATGTGACCCGCAGTCTACATGCATAATAATCCAAAGAAAAAGTCTGTGATGACAATTTTGACTCAGGAAGAAAGTCTGCAGCATGGACTAAATGATAACAACAATCAACTGAAATGAACACAAATTAGAGCAAACATGGTGCTCATTGCTAACTTCAGTCATAATGTAGACAATCAAGCAGGCGACAACACACCAGTAAGTAGCCGAGTGCACTTTAAAAGCACAAGAATGGAGCACATCCCCATTTGTGCTGTGGAAAGATGAGCGACTATGTGCTGCCGTCATACGTCGATGCGGATGCTAACTGCAAACATGCTAACTCAAAGAAGTGTCCGTTAAGTCAACTCTCAAAGATACAGATTAGCATGCCACTTGTTGTTATGTAACACAATCAAGAAGTATGTTTGAGTGTGATATGATGCTGCTATGACAGAGGAGTGGGAACAGAGACCTTTAGGGTAAATATCAATGAGCTCATATATGCAGAGTTACACCGGAGTTTGCTGTGTTCACACCTGACCAACTGAACCACACCGGGAGGGAAACAAAGGCGAGTTTGACTCAATTGAACTAAAGGGTACTAGTCTAGAAGCCCCCTTACGCTACTTCTTCAAGGTGAGCGATGCACCATATTTCCTGTAAAGTCCGCGGTTTGCAGCCGAAGCTAACGTTCGCTGAACAAAAGCTAACAAAACATCGAACACAATTATTCGAGAGCAATGGCAGTAACACTGTAATTCATTGTAACGTCTTGGCTTTCACTGACAGCTCTGAATCAACTGTTTCTTCACTGGTTCTCACCTGATTGCCTGAAGATTGCTCAACAAAAGAAAAATGACATGGGATTGGGGGTTGAGGGGGGGAAGTGCCACTAACCCAGGAGTCGGCAACCCAAAATGTTGAAAGAGCCATATAGGACAAAAAAAACAAAAAACAAATATGTCTGGAGCCGCAAAAAAAAAAAAAAAGCATTTGATAAAACTTAACAATGAAGGAAACACATGCTGTATGTATGTAGGAGGCTGGACTGTCTCAGAATTGTTTATGTTATTCATTCCTTTGTTGTGTGTTCACAAACGCCCCCATAGAATTTATTTTGTGATTTCCTCACTTGATTTTTTGTTTTGGTGCATTATTTTCACTTTTCTTCGCGTGTCAGTGAAGTGATCATGAATTTCCGTTTTTCGGAGGCTGTCTTTGATTGCCTCGCGAGTCGAACGAGAAGAGAGAAAGCACGTAGTCGGACACAGACTTGTCTGTTTGTCGAGACTGTTAAAAGCATAAATAAAGTGTACGTTTTAAAAAAACCAACACCACAGCTTTTCTTTTTCGGAGCTGCAACATGTATCTATATCTATTTGAGCTATATTTGCCTACTATCGAAATCTTTTTCCATTTTCAAAATTTTTTATAAAGCTCCAGGGAGCCACTAGATGCCGCTAAAGAGCCGCATGCGGCTCTGGAGCCGCGTGTTGCCGACCCCCGCACTAACCTCTTACTGATGATAGGAAAGGATTGTTGTAAAAGAATATGAATTTGGCATGAGTGGGTAATTCTCAAGTTACAATGCTCTCCTTAGTTAGGGTTGACCCCGCCTGCCAACAGACTACCAAGTGTGGTGATCCACATCCTGTCCAAGTGACACTGAGCAACAGTACGTTGTCCTTAGGTAAAACGTATGTTAGGTTGTCTTAAGGAACAGTGATGAATATCAACTTCTCCATTTTGACAACATTCTCCTCAGGAGACCCAGAAGACTCCGAGGCAACATCGGTGTTGATCCAAGTTTAGTCTGAATGTTTCTGACTTAACAACAGCACATTATCCTGCTATGAAATAACTGCTCAGTCATATGGACAAAAGACCAAAATCCTCTCCTGATTCAAATGCCATGCGCGTGTTCCTGAGCAAGAGCTAGTTGTGGACTTAAAACAACCAGAAAAGAAGATCACCTCCTCATTAGTGTCCACTCACCTCAGTTTGGGATAATTCGGCTGGCCAGAGGGCTTCCGAAACCACCTCGGTACTGATCCAATTTCCAGCCAAGTGTACCAAAGCACCACGGGTTCTCTCTCAAGGTGAGAAACGACTTAAAGGACACAAAGATCACCAGTCGACCACCGTGCCGCCCTCACAGTATTTTTGCAACAAAAATATCTTTAGGCTCCAGGCAGCTTGAGGACAAGAGTCAAAATTGGAACAATGCAACAACAGAACAGAAGAAGCGTTAGGCAACATTGTTACTTGGTTCGGAGGTGTCGGAAAGGCCAGTAACAGCGGACATACTGTATGCATGATTTAGGCACCTATATATTAATAAATAGATCTGATAATTAAATCCAGAAAATATATTTCCGATTCTTGTCTTTTTCTACCAAGCGTCCAGACACTCGTCTTCGTCACAGTGAGTTTCCCATACTGTTGCTTACCAGTCCCTTGATGTTGGTGATGGGACGCACATCATGAAGTTGTCTTCTTCGATCAATAAATGTGGCTAATCGCGTCGTGTCCAGAGGTGTCTTGGAGTACTCCCCGCCATGAGCTCCTCCACGGCCCACCCACGGGTGCTGCAAACAGGACGTAGCAGTTGGCCTCTTCCTTGGATCCTGCTGTAGCACAGAGGACACAAAATCCCTCGCTGCCTGGCTAACATCCCGGAAGTAATCGTCGGGGAAGCAGAAGTCAAGGCGGCAGATATTGACGCAGGTTTCCTCGGGAGATTCGTCGAGAAAGGGCGACACGCCGCTGAGCATGACGTAAGCCAAGACACCAACACTCCACACATCAGTTGCAACAGAGACCGGGGTGCCGCAGATGAGCTCGGGTGCGGCGAACTCCGGGTTTCCCAGCAATAGGTGGACGTAGCGGCGGTGTGCCGACAGCTGCACAGCATCTCCAAAGTCAATGAGCTTGATGCACGGTGTGGGAGAGTGAAGCTCCACCATAATGTTCTCAGGCTTGCAGAGAGAAAGAAAAAAAATCTTGAACCTCAGGCTCATGTTGAGGCATCTGATGTCAGATGCCTGAATTACATTAAGTCAAATACAGTGAAACTACTCTACAACGAAACCTACATGGTCGAAAATACTTCCTAATGTGAAAGAATGTTCATGCATGAAAGCCATTCTCACTTTTCTGTTCCTCCTACGACGAAAAATCCCCCTGTTCCGTTAGACGAAATCTTTTTCTCTACTCTTGCCCCGCGCGAGATTCACTACAATGAAAACAAGAGTTCCGCAAAAGTCTAATCCAACAGCGACTTCTACTGCGTCGTTCGGAAATGGCAACAGCAACCACCACACTGGTTAACAAATGCGCAGTAGTCCAGGGAGTATTTGTTATTGTTAGTTGCAGACGCAGCAAGAACGTTGCGTTGCTAAAATGGCTACGAAATGGAACTTTGGATGTCAAGCAGCTTAGACAAGAAGAGCTCTGACGCTGGAAGAGAGGGTAAAAGTGATCAAAATGAAAGACAGAGAAAGCAAAATAAAAGACATTATCCTAGAAATTGAGAAGTGTTGGGAAGCAAAAGAGTCTAAATGACTTTTTAAAACCAACAGACAAAGCGGAGTGATTAATATAAAACAATTGTATGTTTATGTTAAACAATATCAAATAAGTGTATGCTCATATTAATGCACTATGAACAGTATTGGAATAAAAATAAAGAGTACACATATATGTTTTGTGTGTGTGTGTGTGTGTGTGTGTGTGTGTGCATGCGCGTGTGCGTGGGCGTGTGTGCGTGTGTGTGTGTGTGTGTGTGTGTTCACATCTGAGATAAAATTTGCTACAGTGAAAAACCCCCTGTTATGAAAAATTTCTTGCTGCAAACATGATTTCGTTCGAGAGGAGTTTCATGGTACAACCAATGTGTTCTCACCTTCAGGTCAAGGTGTGCAACTCGGCACGTGTGAAGGTGTTGCAGGGCTTCCAGTATTTCTCGGATGAAGAAGGCCACCTGTTCCTCCATCAACTCATCGTGGGCGACCAAGTAGTCAAGTAGACGGCCGTCCTCCAGCCTGACAACAACATAAAAATATTCGTATGAAAAATAATTTAATTTATCCATCCGACTGTCTTCTATTGGGCTTTTCCTGTTTAAGCTTACAGGTGAGCTACAGGAAAAGCCTAGCTTGTTTTGGGTGGAAGCTGGGTGTACACCCTGGACTCAATCTTTGAATTTTCCCATATGTGGAACAATCATTTATAAGCGAGATGTGTGGTCGTTTCGAAAAGGAAGTGGTCACTTACAGTTCCAGAATCAGCATCACTGACGTGGGGGACTCGTAGGTATCCAACAGTGCCACCAGCTGGTGGTTCTGCACATGTTGCAGGATGTCGGCCTCATGAGCGGCCTGCTCCTTCTTCTGCATTTTCTTGCTCACGAACTTCACCGCCACCTGACAACGACACAAGAAGAAATTAATCTCCGTCTTTTAACATAAAAAGACAATAAACATCATTATCCAAAGGTCACTCGAATGAGTGATACGGAAGACGGATGGTCATGTTGCTCACGCTGCTGTCGTGTTTACCTTTTGGCTTTGACATGATTTTGCTTTGGCAAAATGGTTCTTTGTCTGCCTCATTATACTGCGAAGTCATTAACTGAAAAACTGAGGTGACTACCATGTTAATGAACAGAGATGGTGATATTCAATGATACAATGATATTCATTTATGTGAGGACACTGATCATGCGAATGATTTCTTACAATCACTAGAAATGCAAGCTATTTTTCAAATGGGCCTGCGGGCTACTAATGTGGCCCTTGGGGGCTACCTGGTGCCTTTTTTTTTTTTTTTTTTTTTTTTTTTGCACCCAACACAATGATCTTGAGTAACACATTAAAAAAATGGCCTGTAATGGCAAAAAAAAAAAAAAAAAAAAAGAAAAAGACATTTACACTCACGGGCTACTACATTAGGTTTTTTTTTTTTTTTTTTTTAATGTTTTGAGTACCTTATTGTGCTCCAAGAGGGAGATATAATATTAGAAATAGCTCCTGATATGATGCCAAGTTCCTTTACCACAGTAATACATTCATTCATTCATACATTTTCCGATCCGCTTATCCTCACAAGGGTCGCGGAGGGTGCTGGAGCCTATCCCAGCCTTCTTCGGGCAGTAGGCGGGGGACACCCTGAACCGGTTGCCAGCCAATCGCAGGGCACACAGAGACGAACAACCATCCATGCTCACACTCACACCGAGGGACAATTTCAAGTGTTCAATCAGCCTGCCATGCACGTTTTTGGAATGTGGGAGGAAACCGGAGTACCCGGAGAAAACCCACGCATTCGCGGGGAGAACATGCAAACTCCACACAGGGAGGTCAAAGCTGGAATTGAACCTGATACCGCCAGTACATTTATCGTTACATAAGTACTTCTTTGACAGTGTAAATCAACACTGAGCATTACTATCTTTGTTTAAAAAATAAAAAAAGAGTTTTTGTATTGGATGTTGCAGTTAAATTTAAGTCGGACCTCTTTCTTCGTGGACTTGTTGAAACATTTCCGCACCACCGAGAAACGTCCCCTGTGGTGAAAACAGCAAAAGCAATAGGGTTCACTTTCACATATTTAAACTGAAAGATTAACCATCATGTTTATATTCTGTGCCTATTTTACCTTCCAATCTCACAAATTTCAGAGAATGTCGACTCAAAGTTTTCTTTCCATTGGATTCCTGTTCCGTCATATGCAGAGTCTGAGGAAGGAACAAAAGTAAATGGATTCATGGAAGAATCTTCTTTTTCAAACCATCGTTTAATTCACAGTTCTTCTCAGTGAACAGTCAAACGGCATTCAAATTTCATTTCAACTTCACTCAGAATCAGAATCAGAATCGCCTTTATTGTCATTGTATTACATACAACGACATTTGGCTGCCACTCCTTAGTGCATTTTGTAAAAAAATAAAATAACGGTTTAATAAATACAAAACTTAACAACACACAACAACAACTCACCGCTCATTGCGCGTAACTGTGCCGGCACTAAACCGTCCTGCTTTTCCTTGTTCTAATACGTATTTCATATTCAATACAGAGCAGGGATTTGTAACTATCATTCTTTCTCAAAAAAGATGTGAGCAATTCTGTTGCACGAGTGTTATTGGTAAAGTCATTAATATTATATATCCCAGTTAATTTTTACATTAAGAAACACCAATGATTTATTACATGATGTGCATTTCTATCACAGTTGGTTTTTTCTGTTTGTTTTTCCTGTTTGTGTGTGTGTGTGTTGTACTTACTGGTGCTGGACAGTGAAACCATATTGGAAGGCTCTGACGGTGGGCCGAGCCCCCAGCGGTTGGACGCTCGCACTCTGAACTGGTAATGACCGCCAGGGATGAGGGTGTCGATCTGAAGGCACTCCTCCATGCTGCTGGACACTTGTTGCCATAGCAGCGAGTCTGGACCAAGGAGGAGAGTGGTCAGCCTCGGCATCTTAAAACCTTTCAACGTTCAATACCTAAAAAGGTCATACCTTCCTGGCGGTACTCCACCGTGTAACTGCTGACTGCACAGTGAGCAGATGAGGCCGGAGGCGGCCAGTGGAGCATCACGGCTGTGCTGCTGGCCTCCTGAGCCACCGGTCTTCCAGGGGCTGCTGGGATACCTTCAACGGAGCAAAAATGCACTGTACGTTAGACAGCGGTTGTATGTCAAGTTATCAGTGACACAGCATGGCTTTCCAGATCCAAAAGGTGGAACATATATTTAGTCTGAAGCACTCCATGGATCAACTGTTTGAGTACTTAGCACGGCGCTTTAGGACCTCTGTAGGTCTTTCATCATGGAACTGAGCCAAAACAAGAAAAGCTGGTTACATACTGTGCATGCCAATAGTCGGGCCAAAGTGCAGCATTTACTACCTTTTCCAATCAAAGTCAGCAAAGGTTTCATACTCCTCATCATTGTCCTGTGGTATGGAATGTGTATGGTTGGGCAATTGGAAATGTTAAATCTGTTCAACGGTTTTGATCGCAAATCCTTTTGTGTGTGTGTGTGTCAACAAGTTCAGTCTCGCCATGGTCTCTGTGATTGTGATGTGAAACGGCCAAACAGAAAGCGACCTGAGGCATGTTCTGTCTTGATTGTGTTTCAGCTATAGCTGGAGTGAAGAGGGTTTCCCTCCAGGGGGCGCACCTGTGCCACATTTCCCCATCAAGCCTTGCTGCGTATTTAAGGACTGGCTAGCCGCCTGGTCATTGTCCAATTATGGACCTTGCTCGCTGTTGTGCTTCAAGTGTTGTGTTCTAGACCTTACGATTCCTTTCATAGTCGCTCTCGTTTTGTCAGAGACCTTTGTAAGTATTTTCATGATTCTTTTATTTGACCTTGCAAGCTATTTTTGCTGATGCATTGTTTTTCCTGGCTCCTTGGGGATCAGCAATTTCAGTTTGTACTTTGTCGGTGCGATTTTCTGCCATCAATATTTTTTGTGATTGCACTTTGTCTCAGCCTACATATTTGGAATCCAAAAACATTCGGTTTGGTCCTGAACCTGACACATGAGTACGAATGTGGAATCTAATTGTTTCAAAAACATTCTCGTTGTTAACCGTTAACATGAACGGCACTACTGATTCTAAAGGACGTTGGCAGACTAATTTGAAATAGCAGCACAAAGAAGCTGAAATCAGATTCAACAAAAAAAAAAATAGCTTCCACATACGCTACTGGAAGCAAAGCAGCCAAGAGAAATACGATGGATTGAACAGAGTTGATGAGAAAAAAACTATAATTTAACAGAACAAATATAAAAAAAATGGGTTGTGTAGGTCTATTCTTCTGAGAATGTTTAGTCCAGCACAGAAGGCTTTGCTGGCCCTGACCACTAGTGTCCACATAGCCTTACCCAAGGTGCATTACCTTGCACTTTGATGGAGGCGGATGAAGAGGCTGACCCGTGATCATTGACGGCCACACAGGTATAGATGCCGGTGTCTTGCGGCATCAGGTTGCAAATCTTTAACAAGATGTCGCCCGTGTCCCTGAAGATGAAAAACGGATAAGGAAAGAGGACATGGAATAGGAAAGCTACAAAGACGAGAATGTTGCAGGCACCTGATGTCAATGGTGAAACGGCTGTTGCTGGTCACCGGGTTCTGGTCGGGGCCCTTCAGGGTGACGGAGGGTTTGGGTCGTCCACACGCTTTGCAGCAGAGGACCACCGTCTCCCCAAAGGCACACACGATGTCGGAGAGCGGCACCAGGAACTCCGGAGCCACTAGACACAGGCATATGGGATCAAAGACAGAACACACAGTATGTCCAGGGGTGTGATTGCCGGTCTGTATCCGGGTTGGTCGAAGTGCCTGATGGCTAACCCATGACCCATCCCCTTGTCCATGTCAAACGATAAACTTTCATTGCGTCATCTCTGCCTTCTGCCGCATCCCCCACCCCCAAATTTTTATTAATTATTATTATTATTTATATATATTATTTTTTATTTTAGATAGCTTTCTTACCTTCCTGGATGAAGTTTGGGTTGAGAAGCTGGAAAACAGACATTGCAACATTTATTTGATTAATGAATCCCCACCTTCCTTCATATATATATATATATA